TGTTTCGGATTCTATTTTTCTACCTAATGTTCTTAATAAATGATTACTTACTAATTTATTACTACTGGCTACGATTTGTTTTCCTTTATTCATTATGTATAGATCCACTTAGTTTTCTTCAATCTACTAGGTTATTTACTTTTACCTAAATCTAGTTTTTCTAGTTTATTTATTATATTATCTAAATCTTGTCTATTATCTGTCGACTTTTCTTTTTCTAATACTTTAACTATGCTTTCCAATTTTTCTAAGTTAGGACTAGATTCTGTTTCTTCTGTATTATTAAATTTTCTTTTTAATATTTCGGTATTTTCATTTTTAATATATTCTATATTAGTTTCTAAAATCTTTATATTTTCTAATAAAATTTCTGCTCTTTTATTTGAATTGTTCATTTCTAAATTTTCTCCTAAATTTACAAGTAAGTCTATATTACTATTTAACTGCTTATATTCACTATGTAAAGCATGTCTAAACTTAATATCAAAATTACATATTAGAGAAGTTGCTTCTAAGTTACCTTTTCTTTTATAGTTTCCTAAAATTTCTAGATTTAAATACTCGTCTCTTTTCATAAACTATATAATTTTTTACTGTTATAGGCTCTGATACCAACTCTAAAAAAAGTCTATCTTCAAATCCCATTTTACTCTTATTTCATATTCTAATTTCTGCCTACAACTTCTGACACTCAATCTTGTCTGATTATATTAAATGTACAACCTGTGTCTATTAATGCTATCAAATTTAATTTTATTATTTTGTTTATCTTTACTTCTATAGGTATTCTGATACTTTTTGTTGTCTTTCTTCTAAAGAATGCTTTCTAATATTTAAATTTCTAACAACTTTGGTGATAGTTTCATAACTATCACAAAGTTGTATTGATGAAGATGATGATGAAGTTTGAGAAGGGGTTTGCACGGTCTGTCTAATTCTTTCGGATATATGAAAATTAAATCATATCATTTCTCTACAAAAATTTAAAACTTCTTCAAGCGTATAAAATCCTTTAAAAAGGGGGTCGAGAAATATTTCTACTTGTTGTAGTACTTTCGGCCAATAATTATATATTTCAGGCTTTCTACCTTTAATTACTGCAAAGAAACTAAAATTTTTGCTTTCTACTTGATTATGAATTTGTCTAAAATGGTTAGCTAGAGCATTAATGCTGTTTAATTTTTGTCTCACGTGTCATCCAGAGATTATCCAGTAGACAACGCTCCCTTTCTGATAGTCTTTCTAAATTATTTCCTCTGAATCGAAGATTAGATCCTTAAGGGGCCACTCTCAGAATGACATTCCCAAAGTTCATCATCCTTTAATCCATCTGCACCATGAAGATAATGAGTTAGAAAATTAATAACTTGCATACTTAAATTATCTGCTAAAATATTATTTTTTTCGTCAATATGTTCTATATTAATTTTATAACTGCTTAATATCTCATATAATTTTAACCATCTTTTATGTCCTATCTTATCAAAATTTGTCTTTTTAATAAATTTTACTATAACTTCACAATCTGTCCTAATTGTAAATCCAGTGTTTAAAAATAATTTAAAGATTTCTATATTATGTATGATGGTCATTATTTCATAATCTAAACTAGTTAAATATTTTCCTTTTATCTTGTATTTTCCGCTAGCATAACTACAATTTTTTTCTTTTTTTTATTAATATATTTATTTGGTTTGGAATATAAAATTCCTCCCCCATCCTAATTCACATCCATCTGTTTCTATTATTTTATATTCACTTTCTAATGGTGGTAAATTTTTAACTTCTACTTTTATCTTTTTAACTAATTCTATATCTGATTGATTAAAATATTTTTGTCCTTTACTAGATAATTTACTATACAATGGTCCTACTTTCCTTTCTAAATCTTTAATAAAATGTCTAGCATAATTTAATATTCCTAAAAAGGCTTGAAATTTCTTGGTTTCTTCAATTTTGTCTTGAAATTGTAAAATTATCTGTACTATATGTGGCTGTAACTGAATCTTTCACTCTCTTAAAATTATTCCTAAAAATTCAATTTTTTGTTTATTTATTTTCATCTTCTTTTTATTTATAATTAAACAATTTTCTATAAATTTATTCAAGGTTATCTCTAAATGTTTCATATGTTCTTTATAATTTTTACTATGTACTAAAATATCATCTATATATACACAAACAAATGGAAGAGAATTAAATATACTATCCATCTTTCTTTGAAAAATAGAGGGTGCATTTTTTAATCCAAAAGGCACAACTAACCATTCAAAGTGTTCTAATGGGTAGTAAAAGTTGTCCAAGGAATAGATTCTTTTACCATTTTTATTTGCCAAAATTCAGATTTACAATCAAATTTAGAAAATATCTTGTTATTTTGTATTTTATTTATTAACATATCCTTATCTGGTATCTTATATCCATCTTCTATAATATTGTCGTTTAATCTTTTATAATGTATAACCATTCTTGCTATTCCTCTTTTTATTTCACTATAATTTCTAACCATAAAGGCTGCTGATTTGTGTTGACTGCTAGACGGTCTTATTACTTTTAAATCTAATAATTCTTTAATCTGTATGTTAAAATCTTCTATATCTTGATTCGTATGTTTTATTTCTGCTGTTCTAATTTTTATGTTTTCATTTATTATTTCTAATTCAGCTACTATTTTATTTTTATCCCAATGTTTTATAGGGTCTTCTCCTATTATTTGAATCTTTTCAGTTAATTCTAAAATTTTGTCTATACTATCTATCTTAGAAGATGTTTTGTTAAAAAATATTAATTCTTTATTTCTTGGTATAAAATCTGTTTTTAAAGTTTGTAAAGATAAATTATCTAAAAATTCTAAGTTTTCTAGATTTTCTTCAATTTCTTGGTCTGGTTCTGGTTGTAAGGGTTCACCACGCTTATCTCGCAGCTCTAATGATTCTATAGTATTAATAATAGAAGTGTCTTTTCCAAAAATTATAAAATCAGGATTAATTGTTAAACTTCCATTTCTAGTAAGCAAGAATTTTATTCCTATAACAAATTCATCTTTTATCAATGCGCTAACTAATGTAGTCGTTAAATTATATTGTCTTTCTTGGAATTTAATCTTATAATCATCAAATAGTCTCTCTTCGAATCCCATTTTACTACAGTCCATTTGACTTTCTCTTATTTTATATTCTAATTTCTGTCTACAATCTTCTGACACTAAATCTTTTCTGATTATATTAAATGTACAACTTGTGTCTATTAATGCTATCAAAATTAATTTTATTATTTTGTTTATCTGTACTTCATAGGTATTCTGATACTTTTTGTTATCTTTACTCTAGATATTTGACAAATTATTTCTTCCTGATTTTCTGTTTCCGAATAATTATTTTCTGTGTAATTATCTATAAGCTGTTTTCCTTTTGTTTTTAGATTTCTGATCTTGTATTGTATTTCTCCTAATGTTTCGTGTATTTTATCTATTCTATTATTTGTATTTATTATTTTATTTTTTATTCTTTCTATACTTTCACTATAGTCTTTATTTTTATTATTATTTATTTCTTCCTTAATACCTAAACAATTATTGCATTGAATTTCTAGACAATTCTTACACGATTTCTATTTTTGTGTCCTGGGTATATTCTGCATATTTTACATTTATCTATCATTGATCATTGTCATCTAATCCATTCATGGATACATTCTTATTTTACATTCATCATCTTTATATCTAAAACTGAAAAATTTAGTTCTTTTAAACTATCATAACTGTTTTCAGAATTACTTGTTATTTCTAAATTATATAACTCTTCATCTGTGTAACTACTATATATTGAATTACAAGATTCATTATCAGATAATTCTATTATGTTACATTTTATTTCTTCAATCATTATAGATTTAGCTACATTTTCTTTATTTTTATATTTATTTGGGCATTTGTTAGCAAAATGTCTAGGGTCTCCACATTTTCAATTTTTTTCACCAAATATACTGCAATAGTTGTAGTATAAACGAAAATTGTAGAATATATTCATTTCCATATCTAATATAAAAAAAAGCATAAATGATTCCAACAAATATGTCCCCATTAATTACCCTCAATTCATGCCCCAAATTCCACGGACCTTCCATTTTTACCTTTCTACAACAGAAGCAAGAAGTTCCAAAATCGAAAAAACGGGTCAATACAATACACAAAATCTCCCAACCTGTGATTCTATCAATTAATTATGTTTATAACCTAAACGAGAATCCTATCCTCTCAACCAATCAATTAATGAAATTCTTTGTTATGGTATTAGATCGAGTAAAACATTTTGAGTGCATATCTTCTTCTTCATCAGGCAGATCAGTCAAAGGAATGCTAGCATCAAACTTACTAATTATCGAAACCTTGGTTGCTGGAGTAAGCAGCAGATGGCTGGTTGCAAGATGTTCTTGAATTGACCAACTTTTAGATATTAGGGACAAAAAAAATCTCAAAGCTTTCTTTCATTAATTTTTATTATATGAATCATTGAATTAATTTTTCTTTCACCTAATATTTATTAAATGATTTTTTCACAAACTTTGACGACTTTAAATTGAAGTTGATTTATTCTATTTAATAAACCTAGAAGAAAAAAAAGAGTCTACATTTTAACTATTTATCTTATAGATGATGTTAAAATTCAAGTTTAGAACGCACACAACATATTTAATCAAAGGAAGTAGCATTGATATAGTTGAAGAAGTGCAATTTGAATATTAATATTTATTCAAAGACTTGCGATATATTGATACGAACATGACGTGACATTGGTAAGGAATAATGTATTCTCACAAGTAATGTTACACTGACGTACTCCGAAGAATACATTGACAACAATTATAAGAAATGAATGAAGTACCTACTTACACTTGATGACATGGAGTATGACAGGAACACATCAGACGTAGGAAGCAGCAAATGTTTGAACCATCGAGATATTGTAATAACTAAACTTGATAAACCACTTCGTTAAAATTGATATACATAAAGTATATTGCATTCAAAATTTCAATTAATACCAAATTAATCTATTATTATTGCCAAACAGAATTACTCACACAACTAATCCAAAAGCAGCTTAACATTATTCTTGACAAAGAAAACACATTCAAGAAACATAAATGATCTTGATACCACCAATGGTAATACCTTCTCCCCCAACTTTTGGCACCGATGTAATCAATATATATTCATCATTTAAACAATCCAAATCCTCTGATAGCTCAGTCAATCCCCACCTAATCTTAGTCTTTACCCTGGAAGAGTTCTTATGTGGCACTTGCGAGAAGCACCCGGCATACTCCACCATGTCAAATACATAGGGATCATCATCTTTGTCGTGAGCAAACACATCAAACGTCACAAACGTTGCAGTGTCGACTTCAATCCGATAGATAGAAGCCATTCTGTCCAATTTTAGCTTGGAGTATATCATCTCAACAATATCGGCGTATTTGCATCCGATAGGCAGCAGGATACCAAATGTTATTGCATTGAATGTGACGAACTTGCTCACGCATTCCATATCTGAAACCTAAAAAGAAATTTAAAAAACTAGGGAAAAATAAAAAAGATCATCTTAATTCGGCTGTCTGCAATCCATAATGCAGTGGAATGACATTCGTTACATACTGAGAGATGAATAATGATATTCAGTTGGAATAAAAATGGATAGGAAAATTCAGACAGTGAAAACCGATATTAATTTATTTGAAACTTTTTATTGCTTGAAACAGATTTTAAACACATATAATAGATCGATTATCATGTTTTGCAAAAATTATATATGCTGAATAATTATAGATTCTACGGAGATACGTACCGATTGAAAAGGAATACTCACAACAGTGCATGAAGTTACAACGGGTGAGATTTCCAAAGAATAGAAGATGAATTGTAGAATATCACCTTCTTTTGCAATATGTTATGTTCTATTCATCCATTTGAATTTGAATTCTCACTTGTTCAGCCCATCACAATTAAATGCAAACATTACTGGAATGGGTAATCAATATCAGTTACGAACATATCTATGGAAAGGTCCGTGTGTAGTAATTTGGGTTTTAGTTTTATATTGTTGTAGTAGTTTATATGTTTCTTCTAGTAAAATAGTAAATATGGAATTTCAATATATATGCAAGACATTTGTGATTTTTTCCCATTTTTTTAGATTCAAAAGGCTACAAGACCAAGTGGCCCAAGAGGCCAAGATCTCAGCCTAAATAGGCAATAATAACAAAAACAACAATCATACTGATAGTAGAAATAATAGTAGCTACCTCTTTTAATATGGAAGGTATGAAACCAGTTAGGTCATCTCCAATGGTGACACAAAAACACCAAATTTTGGTGCAAAAGTACTCTAATGTGGCACCAAATTTGGCACCATTTTGGTGCAAATGGTGTAAAGTCATATTTGCCCTTTTTCCCATTTACCAAAGTGATTGATGAAGGGTATTTGGGCCATTTGTATTATTATTATTATTATTATTATTATTATTATTATTATTATTATTATTATTATTATTATTATTATTATTTAAAATCAATTTCAAATGTAAGAAATAATAATTAATGAATTAATTAAAATAAGAATACAAAAACAAAATTTAATATAACAAACACGATTATTTAACGTTAACACGATTATTTAGTGTTTTCACTTTTAATATTTTTCGTTAATTTAACATAATTATTTATTTATTAATTTATGTATTTGTAAGATAAATAAATAAATTTCCAAATGTAAGAAATAGTAATTAATGAATTAATTAAAATAAGAATACAAAAAAAATAATATAACAAACACGATTATTTAGTTTTTATACTAATTGTACTATGTTTTCTATATTTATTAATAAATTTTTTAACGAATTATTCATTTAGTAATTTCTGTATTTGTAAAATAAATAAATAAATAATTTTTCAAATAAATAAACTATTTAGAATAAAAAGAGAAAAGAAAATGATTAAATATCGTTCATTTGGTGTAAATTTTTGTATAATGGTTGGAGATGATCTATAGTTTGGTGTAAAATTTGGTACAAAATGATGTAAATTTTAATATAGGGTTAGAGATGACATTATATTTGATAGGTACTATCCCCCTCTCTAGTCGCTCAAAAGTCAACCAATCCAACTACTACAAAAGTTGACAAAGCCAACTGCCACAATGGGTGGCGAGGGAGTAAGCCATCATTACTATTATTATTGTTATTATCATTATTATTTGCATTTAAAATAAATTTTAAATGTAAGAAATAATAATTATGAATTAATTAAAATAAGAATAAAAAATTTAATATAACAAAATGATTATTTAAAGTTAACACAATTATTTAATATAACAAACACGACTATTTAGTGTTTCTACGAATTATATTATGTTTTCTATGATCCTGTTTGGTAGCCATTATTTTGCAAAATGAATTCTTTCCATCACATCCAAGTGGGGCCCAATCAATATTTTATGGTTTCATTTGAATTCAAATTGTTTTAAATGCCAAATTTACCCTTTCTTTGTCCTTATCACATGGAATCTCGTCTCCCACGTGAATTCATACAAATTTGTAGTGCAATGGCAGAAACCATTTGTTTTTTTTGGCACACAATTCCCCAAAAATAGTCAACAACTTTATGCTCCATATAATTGGTACAAGAAACACATAATCCGTCGCAAAGCAAGAAGGTCCTTGGGCAAACTCTCCTGGCTGCGAAGTGGAAGAGTTTGTCAGCAGCGAGGAAAACTAGGGATTGGTGGAGGAGAAAGGGAGAAGGCAATATTTGTACCTGATTTTCGGCGAGATCCATTGTTGGTCACTGGTGCTGCGTCGGTTGGGCGTCGTCGTGCAGGGGGGTGATTGAGGGGAACCGGCAATAGTTGCTGCGGGACATTGGTAACGTGTGGAAACGTGGAAGTTTCTTAGGCAGTAGACGATTTGTAGCTTGATTTCGACACTGGGTTGCGTTACAGTCGCCGATTTGGAAGATGAAGCGGAGAGAGAAGTGTTGCGTCGGTGGGAGGGGCATTATGAGAGAGACAAATTTTTAACCACTATACAATCTCACATGGTTTGTTAGACAAGTGGATTGCAACGTTCAAAAAATTAATTCCGGGCAGAAGAAAGTGGCTACGAAACAAGGCCATAATATTTATTAATTAATTTAATATTTGTGTTAATTTAACATAATTATTTATTTAGAAATTTATGTATTTGTAAAATAAATAAATAAATCTTAAAATGTAAGAAATAATAATTAATCAATTAATTAAAATAAGATTACAAAAAAAAAATTAATATAACAAACACAATTATATAGTGTTCCTACTAATTTTATTATGTTTTCGATATTTATTTATTATTAATAAATTTAATATTTTCGTTAATTTAACGTAATTATTCATTTAGTAATTTATGTATTTGTAAAATAAATAAATAAATAATTTTTCAAACAAATAAATTATTAAGAATAAAAAGAGAAAAGAAAATGATTAAATACTATTCATTTGGTGTAAATTTTTGTATAATAGTTGGAGATGATTTGTAGTTTGGTGCAAGATTTGGTACAAAATAGTGTAAATTTTGGTACAGAATTAGAGATGACCTTACAGTTGATAGGTACTATCCCTCTCCCTTGTCGCTCAGAAGTCAACCAACCCAACTACTATAAAAGTTGATAAAGCCAAATGCCATAATGGGTGGCGAGGGAGTAAGCCATTGTTACTATACTGATCCGTATAGGGTTGGCTATATTCCTCGCTCGCCTATATGACATTACTCATTAGTAATTGCTCGCCTTTTTTGGTACGCAACTGATAAACGGATGAGCTTATCTTTTAGACCTATGGCTCCGTGCCATGTTTATCCACTTCACTTAAGCCCTGTTTGATACCATTTTCCACCTTTATGTAGTGTTTGATGTGTAAAATTTTCTAGGCAATTAGTTTTCCATTTACCACCTCACGTGATTGGTTTTCCACCTTTTTTTAAAATTTTAAATTTAAATTTTTATTTTATTTTATTTATTTTTTTTAATGAAAACAAATTCCATCCACAATTGTAAAAAAATCTATCCATTTAATTGATAATTTTCATGAAAAATAAAGCCAAACGTATACCAAAACATTTAAAATTTCAACATTTTTCATGTAGAAAATTATATCAATCAAACACATTTAATTGACAATTCTCAGTAAAACAAGTTCCAAATAATTCAATTCCTTAGAATTCGTATTCTTTCCACCCAAAGAGAAAGTTATAATTTTACCCCTACGTCAAGTAACCTGTTATATGTAAGCTCCCGTTTGGCCCCCATTTTGTGAAAATGAAAATGAGTGGAATAATTATTTTTTTTTTTTGAAAAATGAGTCGTTAAAAAATAAGGAATTTTTTTTTATTTACGTATAATATTATTTTATAGAAGATTGTGTGGTTGAAAATAGGAAAGATAAAAATGAAAGTTAATGTAATGAAAATTAATGGGGATAAGTGGCATCATTTTTACAGTTCACTCCTAACTATTCGAAAATGCTAGTGTGTGATCGGGAGATGAAGACACGTGTTCAACTAGCTATTGTAAATAGAGATGGGTTCTCTCATGTATAAAGTTAGATTCCCAAGTTTTGCACTCAAAATCAAATACGCAGTTTTATACCCAATATTCCGTCGTCTTCTCCCACTAATTCTCACGTCGGAGAGTTCAAGGAAAAAATGCCACATCATTTTTTGCAGGTTCTTTGTTGTTGAAATCGTCGTATATGGAAGAGAAGAGGCAAACCAAATGTTGAGACAGAGGTATTGACAGTGTTCGAGAAGGGATGAGATTAGCTTTTAGAGTGGCGGCGATGGCGCCATTTACAATTTCATCGACAGGTCAGCCTTTATTTCTCCGGTTCTGCTACTCATACAGATTTGGATGATAGAACCGGTTGACAGAGTGAGATGGAAAAAAAAAGACTAAAATAAACGAAACCAAATGAAATGATATTTGAAGACCCGACATAAAATCATGCCTCAGCCCAACCCATTGTATTTCCCCAATTCTCAAACGAAACGCAGAGACGCGAATCGAAGGCGATCGAAGCTCCATCTCTTCTCTCTGTCTCATCTTCATCCTTCTCCTCCTCTAGTGTAGAACTCAACGCCGCTGCAGCCGGAGTCCAAGAAGTTACAGTTGTCCGATTTATCTCGATAATTTTGTTCAAACTTCGAAGTTGCAACAACAATCTTCTCAGGTGAAATCGGTAAGTAAATTTGGTGCTTCTGGTATGTAGTTTACGTGGGTATGTCAAAGCCACTTTACATGTAGTTTACATGGGTATATCGAAATGGGTAGATAAAATTTGTGTATTTTTTGAATTTTCAGTAAGAAGCGAAAATATGAGATTCTTTATATCACATACATGCCTGGTCACTGCAAGAAGGAGCTGAAGTTGACTTATATTCTGAGTTTCTTTGTATCACAAGAACTTATGAGAATTGCATTTGAAAAATGAAATTTGGGTTCTGAGACTCTAGGCACTGCAAGATTCTGAGATTCATTATATCACATGCCTGAATGTGTACTGCAAGAATTGCATAGTATCACTGCAAGAATGTGTCACTGAATGTGTGTATTGCAGTTTGATGAAGCCACATTTCATGTGTCACTAAGTGAAATTCATTGCATCACATATATGCTTGAATGTATACTGCAAGAAATGCATGACATCACTGCAAGAATGTGTAACTGAAATGTGTGTACTGCAGTTTGATGAAGCCTGAGTGAGATTCATTGTATGACATACATGCCTGAATGTGTACTGCAAGAATGTGTCGCTCAAATGTGTACTGAATGTACGTATTGCAGTTTACTGAAGCCACATATCATGTGTCACTGAGTGTGTTTATTGCAGTTTACAATGACAGGACAAAATGATGGAGTCTGCCATGGATGTAGAAGACGTGGTCACATCTTTGCGGATTGCCAAAACAAGGTCCTGTGCTCGTGGTGTAGAGATGCATATGTGAAGTGTTTTGTTGTGGTGAAGAACGCTAAGAACAAAGGTAAATTGTTCAAGTGTTGTAGCAAAAATTGTGGATTTTGGGAATGGGTCAAAGATGGTGAAACGTCCGGCGAATCAAGTTCTGTTGGCAACTCCTTCAATAATCATGTGGCGACTGAATTAGAGAACAACGTCTCTTGCATGTTCGAAACAATGTGCCAATTAACTCAAGAAAAAGACGTGGAGATAACCGTCACAATACGCAAAGGAAAGGCAAATGCGGAATGTGATGAGAAAGGAAAGGGGCCGGCATGATTTTCTACACTAGTTTGAAGTCTCTATGTATCTATCAAATGTTTCTTAGTTTGGAATTATGAATGACTACATATCAATGTATTGGCTAGTTACTAGGCTGGTAGGAAAATCTCTTTTAATGGAACACTGCATTTCTTTCTTGCTAGGAGATCTAATCGTTCAGTTTCCTTTACTGTCATTTCCATCAGTAATTGAACTCCGATTTGTGGATTTGAATGTGGTGTCAGGGTGCTGATCTGCATATGCTAGATTCATTAAATATTCAAATTATAGGATACGCATATATATATCACATTATTTGAATTCGTGCCTTGTTTCTTTACTTTGTGCCGTGGTGTATTTTTCATGTAACAGACTTCTTAAAATAGATCTCAATTTCAAAAACGAAAATCCATACCTGTTTTCAAAAGGCAAAAAAAAAAGAGGAAAACTGTCAGAGATACATTTTCCATGTTCGTTTCCAACTTGTACTGGTCCGACTTGGTGTATTTATAGGCCTCTTAGTAAATTAATTGTGCTCTAGACATATACTTTCATGAAACAGATGCGTGAAATTTCCTACTAACGGAGAGGGGGACTTGAAAATTAGTTGAATTGAACAACAACATTACAAATTATCTTGAAAAGAACAACATTACAAATACAGAAGAAATTCTTTAACAAAGTTTCCAAGTACAGAAGAAATTATGATGACATATTTTAACTACTACTTGTGGATCTCAAGTTCATCAACTGACATAAAGACCAACAAATACAGCCTGCTTTCTGATGAACATGAACTGTGGATAGTTTGTATGCGTAGTAATTTATATATTAGTAAATAACCTCACCCCACCCTCTCTCTCTTCCTCCATATCTTGAAACTTGTATGAAGATAGCATATGTTGAAAACGAGTTTAATGCAACAGCTTCACATGGACAACTTGGCATGGAAAATCTTATCTAGATGGTGCCTCTTTCCCCAGAAATCGTGAGTTTTCTCTATCTCGGTCCGGTAAGCGTGGGTACAAGTATGGAATTTCCTAAAAATCTATGCAATTCGATAAGTAATGCCCAAAGAAGAAATTAAATAGATGATGCGCTCTCGTAGGTAGAATGTTTAACTATATATTTACATGGACCATGGAAGTGAACATGATTGCCGGACGAAGGTATAAAACTTTGTTGTGTGAATGCAAGACTTTGACTGTCACCCTGCAAAAATTATTATTTAAGTCATTTGTTGTCCATATTAATCTAATAATATACATATACTTACCATTAGGAGTTGTGAATACGTGAACGGTGTAGTCATGCAATGTTGTGACTGTTGAGGTACTTGAACGATATGAGCGTCAACGCCAACATTACTTGGTCGTGCCTTTGGCCTATTTCCTTTGGAGGTACTCGAACTCCCTTGCATGACATCACGACAAGGTCTTTATATTAAGTAAACAACACATAAGCAATTGGTAATATTAGTGTGTTAACCTTTGCTTTGTTTGAACTAGGTTCCAATGGGCTCTTCTTGCGAAGTTTCTTCGGTGCACCCTTTCTCTTCGCACACTTAGGATCACGTACCCCACTATTCATAGTTTCTTGTGATGGCCCACATTGCGATGCTAGCGGTGTAATAGGTGGAGACATGACATTACTAACAACATTGGACTTCGTTGTCGTTACCATTTGACATTCATATTCGATCCATTTTTGTATACTTGCAGCTCTGCTTTCATCATCTGTGACCAAGTTCGCCAACGTAGCAAAAGATTGACACAATTTGTCAAACCTTAACTGCCCCGGGGTACTAGTCAACCCATCATAATGAACTGCAACCCTTGTGTGGGATCTACTTACATCTCGTCACCATCTACGTACTATATACCTATCCGGTACGTGTTTGATGCCATTACGAATCAATACTGCAATCACGTGCCTGCATTTTATTCCTCTAAATTCGAATAGGTGGCAACTGTAAACAATTTGGCAATCTTCTCATTGAAAATATACGAAGAACGTTTTTCTATGCGATTGCTCATCGTTTATTTGTTTCTCGCATACCTCGTTGCACATGGCACCATTTGTGAGAAAGACTTGAAATCAGCTTGAATCTCCTTCTCAACTTTATTCTTATTGTTTGACAAACTACTTTAACGAAGTCTTTGAATGTACATAGCCATTAAAAAACACATTCATACTCTCACTGCGTTAAGTTGTGGACATTCCTGCCCAGAAGCTGGTTTTGAAATAACACGGAACCCATCGGCATCTGTTATCATACAGTCCCGACAACCATTCATTATCATGCAAATCATATGTATCAATCATTACCCTCCATCCATCTTCAAATTCTTCAACAAATTGTGAATCTTAAACCAAACCGTGTATAGCATGAAATATTGAACCCTTGGCCACGTGATATCCAAACTTCTCCGGTAACTTTTTCAATATATGCCACAAACACCATCTATGTTTCGTATCGGGGAACACAATTGCAATTATCTTTATCCTCATTTGAGACCAGCCACATCCAAGCAGAGTAGATTGTCCGTGATGATTAATTCCAACAAAAGGAGCAAACGACATGTCATACTTATTGGTGAGGTATGTGGTATCGAATGTGACGATATCACCAAACTCTTTAAACGCCTGCCTACTCCTATTATCTGCCCAAAACACATTCTTCAGCCTTGAATCTTCGTCCAGATCCATACTGAAGTAAAACTCGGCGCAACTGGCTTGCATTTTCGAAAAGTATGATTGTATTGCTACAGCATCCCCTTCTCCAAGTCTCAGACGCCGAACTTGCTCAACATAGTTTCGACAATCCTTTTCCATGCACGTCATATTTTCGTATCCACCTGCTTCGACTATCGTAGAGTTGAAACTTTTATGTAATGGAATTCCTGCCATATAATTAACTTGTTGCCGCCGTTTAACATGAGCACTCAACTCTCGATTACATCGATATAGTCTCGACTTGGATAGACTTGTTTTATGATTATGCTCCAAATTTACTGTGTTTATTCTCCATATTCCGCAACTGTCCATAGAGGCAGTCAACCTCGCCTTACAACCTGTCT